AGGCAGCCGGGTGCCTGCAAACCCTTCCCACTCTGGGTGTATAAATAGCTGCGCTCAGCACCCTGTAGCACCTCTCCTTTGTCTCGCCCTGAAGTGTGATGAGACGAGGGGGTGTGAGGAGGAGGAGGCGGCTATGAATCTGCTCGGCTTCCTGGCCATCCTGCACCATCCTGGGTCCAAATCCCCCACCGAGGTGCCTGGGGCAGAGGGACCCCGTGTTGCTGCCCCCATCAAAGCGGCCAAAGGGACGGACCCGTCCCAGCAGCGGGGGCTGGCACCGCTTGCCGTGGCTCTGCACCCCCTTCCCTCGGCACGTGGCCCGGTGTGCCCGTGGCCGTCGGTGTCTCCCCACCTTTTGGGTGCTCGTCCAGCTCTGGGTCTCACTTCAGCTCTTATCAGTGGCAGCCCTAAAAATAGAGCAGGGAATTAGGTCATGGCGGCAGTCTGTCCCGGCAGGCGCTTTTAACGCTTCCCTGGGCGCAGGTTGCAGGGGTGCAGGGGGTCGGGGCTGCTCCCGGGTTGGGCTGCAGCTCTCCCTTCCCGGTGCCACTGCCCCGTGGGGCGCTGCTGGACCCCGGGCCCTGTGCGTGGGGTGGGGAAGGGCAGGGAAGGCTGTGCCTCCCCCCGGCTCCCCGTGTGCCGTGCAGCCGCTGGCAAACGCGTGGCAGCAGCCAGCCCCGAGACTTTTCTTTTTGGTTTCAGTGAGCTCACGCTGCTCTTTCATCCCGACCCAGCCCTGGCCCAGCTTCTTCCTTTCAGAGAGGGCTTTTTTAGAGGTGGTGCATCAGCTGCTGGACTATTTTCCATGCTCTTGCTGCTTGCCCCGGGTGAAATGGCTATTCCTCTGCTGCAGCTTCCTGGGCACGTCTGTGGTTTCCTGGCTCTGCCCTGGCCGGCCGGTGCTGCCCTGCAGTGGCTCTGGGACCCAGCAGCATCACCCTGGCTCCTGGGGGTAACGCTCCCTATTGCAGCAGCATCCCCATCTCTCTTCTTGGATGCGTGCATCTGTAACGCTCGGCAGAGCTGGCGCAGCCCTGGCGAGGGGAGCGGGTGGTTTCCCCTTCCCGGCCGTGCTGGAGCTCTGCTCCGGCGGTGCCAGGAGCCACTTTGGGGCCAGCCAAATGGCTGCTTGTCTCTGTCCTGGAGAAACCAGAGCAGCCTCTCGAAGGTGCTGGAAGGAGCAGCGCGGGCAGGTCGCTGGTTAACCACACCGGCACTCGCAGCAGCGTGGGTGCCATATAAGGCTGGGGCGGTGAGAGCCACCCTGGCTGCCATGGCAATTCTCAAACCTCAGTGCGGAGCTGGAGGAAGGGGTTGGAGGGACGGGGGAAGGAGATGAGCGCAGATGTTTCATCTCAGCCATCCTCTGCGCTGCCGAGGGGGAAGGGAGGGCGCTGCCGGGGGACGGGGCGCTGCCGGGGAGAGAGGGGTGATGCTGGCAGCAGGACAGGGTCCGGCCCTTGGGATGCACTGGGAGGTGCTCAGGGTGAGCCAGGGGGTGGGTGCTGGATGCAAGGCCATGTGCACAGCCCCCCCCGTGCCCATAGCAGCAAGCATCATGCTTGGGGAGAGACAGCTCGGGGCCAGGGGAAGTGCGAGTTTTGTACCTGAACCCCAAGCGTCGCAGTTTCTTTTGGGAGAATTTGGCTATGGAAATGTGGAGCGGAGACATTACGGCTTTCCTGAGCAGCTTGTTCCCATGATTTATTATCGCAATCTCCAGTTGGAAAGCATCCCTGCTTTCTAACCTGGGTTTGTCTGGCTCTGCCTTCCCGCTGGTGGTTTTTGTTCTGCCTTCCTCCACCAGATGAAAGAGCCCCGGTACGTTGTGTTTCCCCCCAGGGAGGTCCCTGCTGCAGCTGGGTCACCCCTCGGTGCTCGACAGGCCAGGCAGATGAGGTCCTTTAACTCCGCTGTTGCAAGGGATTTTCTCCAGCCCTCAGATTGCTTCTGTGGCTTTTTCTGTAGCCTTTCCAGTTCCTTAGTGTTGTTTTTAACGCATGGGCGCCAGAAGAGTGGATGCTTACCCAGGCAGCGGTCTGAAAAGCTGCAGGCGACGAGATAAAGCGAGCTCTCTGCTCTGGTTCGTTCCCCTGCTCGTCTCCAGGCGTTGCAGTCAGCCCTTGGCACGAGCACTGCCCTGGGGGTCGCTTGGGGTTGCCGTTCCCCCTGGCTCAGGTGTCCTGCTTTCTAGCAGGGAATTCCCCTCCCTGCTCTCTGTGCTCCCCCGTAACCCCCCGCTCTCTGGTTGCAGAATGGGGGGGACGGAGGCGAGGGCAGCGACCTGGCCGCCCACCCGCTGCTGCGGCGCTCGCAGAGCTACATCCCCACCTCGGCCGCCAAGCCGCCCGCCGGGCCCCCCGTCCTCAAGAGCGGCTACTGCGTGAAGCAGGGGAACGTGGTGAGTGCCGGGGGTGCCTGTGCTGCGGGCAGCGGGGTGGCTCAGCCGGGCGGGTGGCGTTGGGCTGGCTGCCCCCCCGGGGGTCGGGATGCCCTGGGGATGCTCGGGATGCCGGACCGCAACAGCGTGGGGGGAGCGCCAGAGCCCAGCGCCGAGCGGTTTCCTCCTCTCTTTTCCAGAGAAAGAGCTGGAAGCGCCGATACTTCGTTCTGGATGAATTCTCCATCAGTTACTACAAGTGTGAGCAGGTGAGCAGCCCCCGCCGGGGGTCTGGGGCTGCTGCCCTCGCGTGGGGGCTCCGTGGGAGGCGCATCCCAGCGCTGCCAGCCCCAGGGACCAGCCCAGCCCATCACCCTCCCCTCTCCTCTCCGCAGGACAAGGAGCCCTTGCGTTCGATTCTCCTGAAGGACGTTTGCAAGACCCACGAGTGCCTGGTCAAGTCTGGGTAATGCTCCTGTCCGTGTTTCCCTGGACTGCAGCTCCTGCCGAGGCCCCAGGCTGTGCCGGGGACGGAGCAGCTCCGGCTGCTGGTGGGGAGCAGCTCCCCGAGGAGCTGAACCGGAGGAGGGCAGGAAGGAAACTCAGCTCCCTCCTCCGGGGAGCCCAGAGGGCCCCGAACAGCGGCCAGGCTGAGCTGCGCTGCTGCTCGCTTTGCTTTTACAGCCCTGCAACCCACGCGTCGCCTCTCTGTTTGGCTTTTAAAAAATTTCTTCCCCTTCAGCTCCATGAGCAGGTCGGGGAAACGGGGCTGGATGCAGGATATTGTCCGTCCTCTGTTCTTCCAGTGCCGATAGCCATCTCAGCTGGGCAGGCGTGCTCCTGCAGCTCTCTTCTCCCCGTAGATCGAGGCGTAGGGGCCCTGTGCAGTAAACGGCGTCATTTGACAGAACAGAGGTGTTCATAAAGCTGCCAAAAGCCCTGTGTAGGCATTTTCCTTGAACGCACGCAGGTGGCTGCACCGCCCCTTGGGAACAATTTATTGCAGCCAGGCTGATAAAATCCAAGTAACTTGAAGACTTGCAGTGGAAAACGAACTAAGAAAACAAACCCCTTTAGCTAAAGTAAAAGTATATTTTATTAATATAGCTTTGAATTTTTATTCTTAATAAGTAATAGAAAATTCACATTTACAATGAGCTGTGAGATGGATTACGGCTCTGGGGAGGGGCGGGGGTTTGCCTGCAGGCGGCAGAAGCTGGAGGGTGTTTGCAGCCGAAGGTTCTCTGGGGAGCTGGAGCCTTCTCAGAGTCCCCATGAGATCCCGGGTTTGCCTTCAGTACGTTTTTTCCCAGCACGCTCTAGGGATGAGGATAAATATGGAACTTTATTTTAACATCCACGGTGACTTCTGGGTAGTTACCATCTCCTCCTCGCTGTTTCTAGTGACCTCCTGATGCGGGACAACCTCTTTGAGATCGTGACGAGCTCCAGAACCTTCTACATCCAGGTGAGGCAGCCGAGGCAGGTTTGCTTTTCCATGCAGTAAGTTCGGCTCTCGACAGCTCGTGCAAGCCACGCTCCTGCACGCAGGCTGTGCCCCCGCGGCCAGCAAACACAAGCAGATGGGTTTGTGACAGCCTCGCCCGGCGCTGGGGCACGGGCGCGAGGGAGAACTGCCAGCGGTTTCACTTCTCCCCTGGGGCTTATTTATAATAGCGGCTGTTTGTGCGAGCAGGAAAAAGCAGAGAGACGAGCACAGGGCGATCCGATCCCATGGGCATCCCGAGTGCGCGGGGCTGCGGCTGCATCTCCGTCTCCTGCAGCTCTGGCCGGCCCTTCACTGCCCTGAGCCACCAGGGTGCCCAGGTGGCCAAGAAGGCCAATGGCACCCTGGCTTGTATCGGGAATGGTGTGGCCAGCAGGAGCAGGGCAGTGACCGTGCCCCTGTACTCGGTGCTGGTGAGGCTGAACCTTGAATGCTGGGTTCAGTTTTGGGCCCCTCACTCCAAGAAAGACGTTGGGTTGCTGGAGCATGTCCAGAGGAGATCCTCAAAGCTGGGGAGGGGGCTGGAGCACAAGGCTTACCAGGAGCGGCTGGGGGAGCTGGGGGGGTTTAGTCTGGAGAAGAGGAGGCTGAGGGGAGACCTGATCGCCCTCTACAATCATCACTCCCTACAACTGCCTGATGGAGGCTGTAGTGAGGTGGGGGTCAGCCTCTTCTCCCTGGGAACGGACGATAGGACGGGGGAATGGTCTAAAGTTGTGCCAGGGCAGGTTTAAGTTGGAAATTAGGAAAAATTTCTTCCCCAAAAGGGCTGTCAGGCTCTGGAATGGGCTGCCCAGGGAGGTGGTCAAGTCCCCATCCCTGGAGGGATTTAAAAGAAGGAGAGATGAGGTGCTGAGGGCCAGGGTTTAGTGGTGGGATGGCAGGGGTAGGGGAACGGTTGGACTCGATGATCTTAAAGGGCTTTTCCAACCACAGCGATTCTATGATTCAGTCGGTCCCCCCATTGCTGGCTGAGCTGGGTGGGGGGAGGCAGCAGATGGGGGACGCTGTGCACGGTGCTGTTGGCATTTGCAGCACCCCTGGGCACGTGCCAATCCCCGAAGAGCAGCCAGCGTGCCGTGCCATGCGGTGGGTGCGCGTCCCCACGTGCACAGGCAAAACCCCAGGCCCCGCTGCCCAGAGAGCGCAGCCCGGGTGGGCTCATGGCAGGATGCAGCCCCCTCCCCCCCAGCCTCTGCCAGTGCAGGGGCAGGGTTGGTAACACCCCAGCAATTTTTTTTCCCCCCTTAAAAATGCTTTATCCATTTCTGATCTAAAAATGCTGCAATGTGGAGAGTGGCTCCCCTTCTGCGGGGGGAGGTGGGGTGGAGCAGTGATTTTTAAGCAAGCATAAATTGGTAGCAAATATACTGGGAGCTGTGGTAGCCTGTCCATCTGCGTGTCCACGCTTCGCTGTGGCGGGGGTCGCCTCTGGCCGCACCAGAGCCTTGAGGGGGCAAAGCCTGATTCGGGCTGGTGTGTTTTGCAGGCAGACAGCCCCGAGGACATGCACAGCTGGATCCGAGTAATCACAGGGGCAGTCCAGGCCCTGAAAACCCGCCCAAGGGTAGGTCACGTCCCTTCTGCTTCGCATTTAGCGTCAAATGAAGGTCATGCCAATGTACAAGATATTTGTTTAGCGGCTCGCGTAAGCGCTCAGTTAGCCCGTTTCCAGGATGAGATCCCTGCCCTCTCTGGGCTGGTTTGCCAGTCACTGGAAAAGTTTCCTCGAAAAAGATTGAAAAGTGAGATTCAGTCATCGAACTGGACCCGCATGAACCCGGCTCTGCTCCAAGGCACAAGCGAGAGCCTGACTGGTGGCAAAGGGCCATTTAATTCAGACTTCCACTTTGCTTAGGGCTTTTTTCCCTTTCTGCAGAGCCTGTAAAGGGCCGGTCCGGCTCCCCAGGGCTTTGCAAATTGCTCACAGCAGTTGCACGCACAAAAAGCCAACCCCAGCCAGAGCTCACCCTGTGCCTGTCCTTGCAGGAAATGTCCTTCATGAGATCCGGCTCCATGGTCAAGCCCGGGGGCTCGGCCGCCCCCTCCCACCAGAGGCAGGCGGCGGAGGAGAGGAGAGCGCTGTGCAAAGCCCCCTCCACCTCCTCCTGGCAGCCCTGGACGCCGGTGCCGCAGGCGGAGGGGAAGCAGGCGATGCCGGAGGAGACGCCCGCGCTGCTGAGAGACTCGATGTTCCTGCCGGCCTTCTCGGAGCGTGACGCCGGAGCCGCGCCGGGCAAGCGCTTGCGGCACAAGTCGGAGCCGCAGCATCTCAAGGGGCAGC